ACACCCTTTATTATATTTGCCTTCATTGCTCTATATATAAGCAAGTTTATGCGTATGAATTCCTTTGAAAATTGCAGCTGCAAAATATTAAAAATTAAAAATAAACCGAATGTGAGGCCAAACTGCTTGGGAATAGGTAAATTTTGCAAAAAGAATGGTGTGTACATACGTACATTCGTGTATGTAATCCCAGTACTAAGCAGTGTAACGAAAAATTCTGCATGATGATTAGCTAATTATGCGGAAGATAAGCAAGAAATTCTTGGAAGCGAGAAATTAAATATCTTCTTGCATAAAGGCGGTGGAATTAAGCAAAGTAAACATTTTTATTGTTTTCAGGAATCATGGTATTTTTTCTTTCGAAAATAAACTAGTGACACATACAGTCACGCTTGCTGTGAGTCATTAACATATGTTTGTGTGCATATGTAAATATTTTTATTTCTATTTTTATATCATTTCCTATAATTTTTTGGTATATATCTTTTATATACTTATGTACAGCATAAAAATTAACTTGCACAATTATATTTGATTTGTGAAGAATTATGGAGGGAAAGTCGACTCAAAATTGTGGATTCGAAATAATTGTTAAAAAATTATTTAAGAAATAAATATAAAAAATTAAAATAAAAATTAATACCATTAATGTTAATATATTTTTAAGTCAATTTCGATTTTTAATTGGCTTGAAAACTTAAAGTATTACCATATAAACTAGAAAAGTCAGAGAAATGCAAGCTTTTGGAAATTTAAAGCTAAGTGAAAAATTAGAGCTCAAAATAATTTATTTAGTTTTAATTTTTTAATACTAAGTTAGAGACTTCTCAGCTAAATCATGCCAGCTTCGGTAGTTACAAATTAATATAATTAAAAATGAGAGCAAAATTAAAAAATAATTACACTGGCACTAATTTTTTTCCTATAATTTTAAAATTTTCCGTGCTCTATGCCATAAAATTTAATTGCAATATATTTCTGTTAATTTATAAATTCTTTGAGAAGTACATGGTTTATATATGCAAAGACAGTGAAAACGCCTGAAAGTATGTAAAGTTGTGTGCTTTATTTATTTTATAGGATATTAATATCTTTTAAAAATGCACCGTTGCTGCTTTTGGTTTTCTCAGATGTGTTCAAATGCCTCTTATAGAGAAATGGGTTAAGGTCACTCATACGCCCCCACCGCATGGCTGCCCATAAGCATATTATAGAATTTGGATCCTTCAAATCACCACGGATTTTTTGCACTTGAATTTTGTGGGTTTTGGGACCCAAAACAACAAAAAATCCAATGAAAAAATTTAGTCAGCTTCGGATGAGAGACCCGCTTCTGATGACAACCCCCGCAAATATTTATAAGGATTATGTTTTTTGGGCATGCACCTGGAATGTCCGGTCCCTTAATTGGGAAGCTGCCACTGTCCAGCTGGTTGCTGTCCTCATAAAATCGGAAAAAAGAACGGAAGTAGGTGGGTTCTTGTGAAATTTACTACAGCGGCCATATAAAGGAGCGCAAATTCGATGTCGGATTCGTGGTGGGAAAGAGACGCCGTCGCCGAGTACTGGCATTCACTTCGGTGGATGAACGTCTCGCCATGAGCCGCTTCAAAATGGAATTCTTTAACACCACCCTAATTTGAGAAGGATGACTTGACCAAAGACGCCTTTTACGAGCGCCTCGAGAGCACTTATGAGCACGACGTCTAAATTGTGCTTGGTATTTTTGTTACAACAGGTGGAAAGTTCAGCCTCCACGACGAAACATCACCAAATGTACTGAGGCTGATCGACTTCACCGGGTTACGAGATATGGTTGTCTGTAGCACAAGATTCTAGTACTTGGCTGTCTCCAGATCGAAAAACTCACAACCAGATCGATCAAATTGTGGTAGACGGAAGACATGTCTCCAGTGTTTTAGTTACGCACATCTTGTGTGGTCGTCATCTCAACTCGGATCACTATCTTGTCGCAGCGAAGATACGCAAGCGCCTTTGTGCATCGAAGAGCGCCCGTCAACAAACACAAGGGCGGTTCGACGTTGAAAAGCTGCAATCAGAACAGATTGCCGAGGCTAGGTATGCTTGGAAAAATCCGCTGAAGACTTAAATAAGCTAAAATTTATACGGCTCAGACTACTGTAGAAATATTTTTTTACTACCAAATAATAAGGTGTACATCTGCTCAACAAAAAATAGAAGAAATTTAGATTCATTTTCGTTTGAGTCAAAGTAAAGGCTAACTCGATATAGAAATAACAAAGCTCTCATGAGAAAAAACATCATTTTTTTTGCGGAAATTAGATAACAGTATATTTTAATATATTTTTCTAATGAACAGTTAACCCTTTACCCATCATTATGTGATGCATTAAAAGTAAAAAGTAAAAATATAATTTATAGTTTTTAAATATTTTTTTCTGTAGTGAACTGAAAATTGGCAACATGGCTTCCAAGCACCATCAACTTGGATGTTCTTTAGCTTTATCTTTCCAACACATTTGGGCGTTAAGTACATAAGGAGCCAAGATATTTTAGCTACCACTGCACGCTTTGATTTTGATGAGAAACAACATGTTGTTTGGCATAGTTTTTGACATTTGTGTACAACTGTAGAACTAAAAATGTGTAGGACAGCGTGATCAATAAATAAAAAAATTGCTTATACATAGTAGATGTGATACATAAAAAACTGAATATTTACACAAAAATACATGTGAAGGTATGATATATAAAGAAGGGTTATAGGAAAATGAAAATAAAAAATGTGAAAGAAATTGTTGAATGATTTTTATTTTTTATTATTTTTATTTCGCATCTAATTCTTTATATGCTTCTCTTATGTTTAATTTAATTTTTTTACATATTCAAATGATGTTTTGTTAAAAATATATTTATTTTTATTTTTACTGTTGGTCCGCTCTTACTTATTTCATTCCTTTTTGTCTTAGTCATTGCCGTTCTTAATGACCACCAACAATTCTTTTTTTCAAATAGAAAGTATTTAATATTCTTCTCGAACATGCTGAAACACCCACATCTACAAAAACAAATACTTATCTACAGTGAAACACAGCGCTGCTGTCAATTTATAAATGCCTTACATATATTTCAAAATCTATTTGGAACATTTTAAAATAAAATATTCAACAAAAAAAAATGTTTTCTGGTAAGTATTATATGTAGGTATGCACAATTATGGGCGTCAATGTGTTGGAGAAAATGTTTCGTTTGCCTTTTAATATTCGCTTAATGTGAAATTTTTAATCATTTGTATTGAATGTCGCTGCTAAAATTAGCATTATTTGCCGTTTGCTGCGCTACGGCGCTGTGTTGTGTGTATTTCTTCAAAGTATGTGTAATACATACAATGTTTTTAGTTGTGTTGGAGCTGTCTTATTTCTTTTACCTACACAAGCATCCATTTCGGCTGCGCTGCGCTGCCCGGCAACAGCTGTTAGCACTATGTGTGTGTGCTTGTATCACTTTAAAATTGTATAAAATCAAAATTTTGCTTTGGACCCATTTATTACCCAATAATTAACACATTTTACACAGTTCTCGTGCATATTAAGCGCCAACACTTCAATGCTTGGCCGTTTCAGTCTGCCACATTTTGGGTTCATCTGAGCTGTGAGTGTTTTCTAAATTTGTCGCAATGCCGTGCAATACTTCCCAATTCCCATTCTTTGTGCTTTTTCTATTGCATTTTTGCATTTACCGCAACTAATTTTTTGCTTTGTAAACCAGTTTTTCTTACATTCCTACCTCAACGTGTCGGGTGCAGCAGTGCGTATGAGCAACAGGAATTCTTTTCAACTTCTTTGCGCTCTGTATTCGTTGCATACGGTTTTATTGCCTTTTCGCTCTATGCATACACTTTCGTTGCATCTTTGTTGCAATTGCTATGCATTCTTTCTGTGTTTACGCATTTTACTAATTTTTTTGCGACTTTATTTTTCTTGTTTGCCTTTCGTGGGCTGCCGTCTTATGGTAATATATGTATGTAAGTTTTGTGCATATGTACATAAGTATTTTTATTCCACCTGCCACACAACTTTCAATCAAAATCGCCGTTTATTTATCAGCGCTTCTACTATCCGTCGGCGGTATATAAGTATGTATATATGAGCATGTGCTAGGTACAAGTGAATTGCGATTGAAGTTCAATGTACAACACTATCGCTTCTCGCCGATACGCAAGGGTAATTTATAATTAGCAAATGGTTCGTAGCTCCACGTTCAAAATTGTGGCTAAATTCTGTTCTTAGCAAACTACTTTCGCTTAATTTTTCTTTTCTTTTCATATTATTCGATTATACCCTGCTTTTTAATAGAAATTCTTCAGTGGCGTTTAAAAGCCACTTGCTGAGAATTTGAAAATTGCAGGAACTCAATATGTCTCCGGCAGGTAGACGAATCTTTAATCTACCTCACTAAATATGCAAATCTTATGGCATTTATTTATAACTTAGGTATTTATGTAGAAAAAAAAGAAGAAGCTAAATAAAAATATAATTTAAATAATATAAATTAAAAATTAAATTATATAATAAAATAAAATAAAACAAATTAAAATAAAATAAAATAAAATAAAATAAAATAAAATAAAATAAAATAAAATAAAATAAAACAAAATAAAATAAAATAAAATAAAATAAGATAAGACTAAAATAAATAAAATAAAATAAAACAAAATAAGATAAGGTAAAATAAGGTAATATAAAAAGTATTTTAATATTAAAAATGAAATTATGTGAAGAATAAAATCAATAATTTATTAGAATAAACGAAATAAATGGAGAAAATATAACGATATAAATTTAATGGAAGTGATTATGGCGCTTTTGTTTGTTTTTATGAGTTTGCATGTAATTATATTTGTCATAATAATATTAAAATTGGTTTTTTGGTTGGTGTTTTTTAACTATACCTAAATATAAACAAAATCAGCTACTTTTCTGTGCTTTGAAATTTTATTTAAATTTTCTACAAATCTGTACTCTTTATTTAATTTAATTGAGTTTTGCGGAATTTCTGTTACTCTCAATCGTATATATATGTATGTAATTATATGTATAATATGTACTCACCCTCTGGCGCAGTTCACGTTCGGCTTCAAGATCATCTTGGAGCAAACGGATTTTGTCCTGGAAGTAGAACGAAATTTCTCACATTATACATACAATTTTTATTACTCATTATTTTATTAGCATTTATTTAATATTTACGACGATTTGGCGGTTTATTGATTTAACGAAAGTTTTTAATTAATATTATATGGATTTTTAACGCTTTTTTTTAGTGTTTTTTATAGATATTTCCAAGTTTTCATTTGTTCTTTAATGCATTGAGTTGTATATATAAATGTACATATAATATATTTAGTATTTTTTTTTACACACACATACACATAAATTTCTGTGTGTACTTTGTTCATAGTGTTTTTTCTTTTTCTAAATTCGTTCACATACCAAAAATGCACGCACACAAATACATAAATATTTCACGAAATTCTCTGCTTGACGTTTTTCGTTTTATTACATAATTCGTCTGGCAGAAATACAATATGTACTTCATACATACATGCTGGTATACATGTTATATATGCTCATATGGCGCAAGAATACATTTAAATGTATATATTCATGAAAGTATGATATGTGTCCGCTTTTTATAATACAAAAACAAAAAAGAAAAAAAAAGACACGAACACATTTTTCAATCTCCGTTTACAATAAAACTTCTCTGTTCTCATATTCAGTTTTGTCTGCCTATTTATTTCACATCACTGTGCCATGTATAGCGAAATTCACCATATGGCTAAAGTACATAAATAAATAAGTGCGAGGATCAGATAGACACTAAGTGCTGTGGTAGGAAAATGTTTTTATGCACAATTTATTGAAATGTTCTTTAATAATATTTTTAAGGTTTTTTAATTTAAATTTTTTTATATTTATTTTTAATATTATTATTTATTTTTGGAGTTCATTAGTTGTTAGTTGAATTTTAAGTATTCATTGAGATTTTTTTCTTATATTTTTATGACATTTTCTTGCGTTATTACAAAAAAAAAAAAAAAGCTGTATGTATATATTCAAAAATCAGTTTTTTGAGTTCATTACGCCTTTTTAAGTTCGGAAACATTTTTATTGATTATTTTTTTAATTAATAAGTTTTTCTTAAGACCAAATTTTTAACATTTTGTATTTTTCCAGCTTTTTATGCATATTGTTGTGTTTATTAAAAAAATATACATACATATGTATATTTGAAATTCAGTTTTTTGAGCTTTTAGGTTTTTCCATAATTCTAGAAACGTTTTTCTTGTGTTTTTCAATTATTTTCTTTGAACCAATTAATTAATTTTTCTCAGCGTCTAACAGTTTCTTCGCATTTCAGTTATTTTTCATTTTTGGTATTTATTTTCAACATTTGTTTTTTTTTAACCACATTCCGCAGCTCGCTTACCTCCAAACGGGAGAGGGCGGCCAAATCAGCGCTATATTCAATGGAGATATCAGCTGCACCCGGTCCAGTTGAGCTGGCCCTGTAGGAGTATTTCGATGAGCGTATTGCTTGCGACGAGGACATTTTTTATAAATTTATTATTGCTGTTGTAGTTGTAAATTTAATTTATAAAATTAAAAATATATATTTTTTATTTAATTAATTATTATTATTAAATATGTATTTTCTTTCACTCAGGTGAACACTTTTCGTTTGGCGCGCCCGCTTGTCTTGTATATATGTGTCTTGTGTGGCTATTGCGTATATTTTGTGGTGGAAAAATTTCAAAATTTTCCTGCAATGCAGTTTTATTATCCTCCAGTAACAAAAAAATATATATATGTATATATATGTATATAATTTTGTAGGTGTGAGACAAATAAAAATTGAAATCTTTTCGCACTCCACACACAAAAATTTGTAGTTGTCACCGAGTCACCGAATAATTCGTAATAAACGTCGGAGAAAGGCTGGTGATCTACTGAACAAGAGATCCCGGTGTCGTTCGAATAAAGAGTATTTCGTGAATTTGGCGTTGGCCGTCGATCTTTTCGTCTATTTCTACCCAACGAAGACGTGGCAATTAAATTTCGAGTGGGAATTTTTTCTTGACTTTCGGTGTGCAACATCTGCGTTTGTGTTTGCGTGTGTGTGTGTATGTGTGTGTAGTCATATTAGTGTTTAGTATTTGTATGAATGAGTGTGTGTGTATTCTCTGTATGTGTTTGTATTTGCCAATTGTTGTTGTTGTTGCTGTTGCTGTTTTAGCCGTTTTTCATCGTCTATTTATTGAGTGGACTATGCATGTACCGTTAAGCACTTGAGTAGACAATTTTCTCGCTCATAAGCTTTCTTTTTTTCGGTTTTTGAAAATTGAAAATCTGTGTTTCTGTATTAGAATATAGACCTAGGCGCACAAAATTAAGTTTATGGAAGTATGACCAACAGCGCATATGCATACATACATATGTACATATGTATATACGAATACATATGTTCATATGTTGCTGTAAGTGAATGTATGCGTATGCTTTTATTGAATTCTTCACGCTCCGCTCACAACAGCTGTCCTCTATGCACCTACATACAAATGTTTGTATGTATGTATGTATGTATGAACATAAGTGTTAATTGCCGTGAGTAAAAAAGGCGAGCACTTTACCCTTAGCCGTTGTTGTTGTTGCTGCTGTTGGTTTTTTTCGACAAAATGAGCTTTTCACTTTTCCATCACACGACCACTAATCTAAATGTGAGCACATATACTTACGCACACAGACACACACACACACCTGCATATGTATTGAACGGCAAGTTTGCTAAGTATCTATTATAATTGAGTGTCTTCTATCTTGGCTAATAAGAAATATGCTCGGGTCAAGTCGGTCATCTCAATATGGGCTAAACGCAAACATACTTGCATAAAAATATACACACATTTGTATAGACATGTGTATGTAAATTGAGTAATTGAGATTTTTACCTGTAATTAGCATAAGCACATGAAGATTTCCAAGCGGCGTGTGGCGTGCGGCGTGCGGCGTGAGGCAGCATGCAGGTAGCACGTATATTCGCTGGTAAATTGTTTTTGTTTATCTATGCGCTGCAATAAGCATGCATCCGTTAGGTGTGCTCTTCATTATGTTGTTATTGTTGCTGTTTTTTATGCATTCGTTTCGCTTTGTTTTTTTTTGGAGATTTTTTTTTGCTTCAATTTTAGAAAAATATTCTGAAAAATTCAGAAATCTACCGAAAGGTTATGTTTGCTACTTGTATTTTGGAATGAATAAATTTACTTACTCTTAAATATCATTTTTTTCCTTAAAAGTAGTTCTTTGCTTGAAACGAGGCATTCAAATTTAAAAAAAAGCTATTCATTGCCGATGCTTTGCTTTCGTTTCAAAAAAATTGCAGTTAATCCAAGGGGAATTCATAATGGTGAGAGCAGGTGAAACAAATACAACAATTAAAGTGTATTTTTTTGTTGTTTTCAGTGTATCAATTGCCAAAATCCTGGCAAATTCATACATTTGCTTTTGTCGAATTGAATCAATAATTCAAAAAAAAAAGTCAGAAAAGAAGAAAAACATAAAATGAAATTTATATCGTTAACTTGAAGATCAAAGGTTTGCCAATATAAATCGCATTCAAAATTGAGTTGTTTTCTTTCATGGCGTGTTTTCTTATTAGCTCCTTCTTTGGAAGGGAATTTTTTAAGAAATGGCCATTGGACTAAATCAATGGCCGATATATTAAAGTACTATAATTATTGTGATCTTAAGAGATTACTAGAATTATCGCAGTTATTTTATTTTTGGCGGCCGCAGTAGCCGAGTGGTTAGCATTGCGTGCTGCCATTTGGAAGGCTCGGGTTCAAATCCTGGTACGATCAGCAGCTCCTCGGCAGAGAATGTCTATCCATGAGAGTGTATATATGACATGAAAAAGAGGGTTCTAATAAGAAACCATCAGCAGTCCCTTCAAATTTCTTGGATGATTATGAGCACCATAAACTCCACTCATCTTAAAGCACCAAATGTGGTTTTGAATCACCCGTTATTGTAGAAAAGTTAAGAACTTTAATGCGTTGTGCTATTTGTTAAGCGATCATAGAATTATATGGCGTTATAAATTGGCTTAGTAAAAATTAATCCATTATTTTTGCATTAAATGGAGGGCTTTATTTACCATAGTTAGAATTATCTGATTTATGTCAAGTATGACCGATTTAGCTCAATAACTTTTTGCCATTTTGAAGGTAATTTCATTATGACTCCCTTACTGTCTCTATTGCCAACAAATATTGAAAATCGATTTTTACAGGCTTCTGTGGAGGACAATTCTTCATAGCCATAAACAATTGGCAATCACTTGGTGCGTGTTCCTTACTATAAAGATGCATAAGCACTGCCCGACCAAGTTTTCGGAGCTTATGGGGAGTCACTATCGAGGTGTGTGTTGTCTGGAACTCAATTGCCGCCCTCGTGTTGGCCAATGCTGGTCGCTTCTATACGAATACTTCCTTCAGCTGATCCAATTGTTAATAGCACAAGTCCGAATTATGAGTTTGGCCGTAGTGAAGCAGCTCGCAGTGGATGATGAATTGCTAATGCCACCAAACACTCAACAAAACCTTCTTGATCCTCAAACCGGGCTCGAGAACCGTTTGCGCCGGTTCACTACTCAGCAACCATGCCCGTTTTCATTTGACGGTGCCGTAAGTGATCCAGCCATCCAATGTACGTCAACACCAGTTATCATACACTACAGTCACTATTCGATTTTTTAAGAATACAGCAGCGGTTCGTAGTTATAAACTCGGTCCATGAGGTTTTTTCTCGGTAACCCATGTGGCACCCATACAAGGAGCTTCGCTGTGTATCCAACTTTTTTCATTGGCTTCCAAACTGTTTTTTGTGCAATTTTTAGTTTCTGAGTCATTAAAACAGTCCACACTTTTTAGGGTCAGACTCTACGATTTTCATTATATTAACAACATTTTCAATATGACCTTCGTCAACGTGAAGCATATTTTACTACAAAATTATCGGAGCAAAATCGGCGAAACCGAAATAATGCATGACTGACTGTCGCAGTATCAGAACCATAAACACTATATACATTTTCAGCTGTCTGACTTGCTTTTTTGCCTTTACAGAAAGAGAATTTAGTTTTTTTCCCTCTTTTTTGATGTCCTTTTTTTGACATGCGGTCAAACACTACTGAATTAACCAATCAAAAAACTGTCAGAAATGCTTTTTTAGTACGCCGTCTCTCTCTAACGCCGTCCAGCATGAAATGATCACCCTTATAGGTGTGATATAAATATCACTGAAGCCAACTAATGCATAAATAATGGATTACTTTATACTTGGTCTAATATATTGGATGAGTGCATAAGTTCGTGCCCGATTCCGCTGAATGCCGTTGGAATCGTTTGAGAGTGGCGCTCGTGAAAGAAATATATACATATTATATATCGTTAGAAAGGTGACAGTCCGAACTGTAAATCAAGCATAAAATAACTTCATTTTGATTTGAGTTGCTTAGTGAAAAGACGCATGGAAGATGGACAACGAAAAAGATCATATGCGTCATATTATGTTGTACGAATTCCGCAAAGGAAAAACAGTAGGCGCTGCAACTAAAGATATTCGCGAAGTTTATTTGGACCGTGCTCCAGCACTCCGCACAGTAAAGAAATGGTTCGCGAAATTTCGTTCTGAAGATTTTAACCTCGTATAATTCCCAAAAAAAAAAATATAATTCTAAAAAAAGCCTAAAACTTTGGAAGTCAAAGCAATAAGGATGTTGGCGCGGAGTGTCTGCCCCCAAAATTTCGAAATACGCCTGGTAATTTTAGTGAATTAACTCAAACTGCGAAAGTTTTTATCACCAAAAATATATTCAAAAGCCCAGTATTTCTGGTGAACTCGTTAAACCCCAAAAGTAGCAAATATATACCTATTTCTCAGCTAATAGGAACCCCTCCTTCTTGTGTATATGACAGCGCTCTTCCTAATCGAGTAAAAACCAGATTACTTCTACTCTTTTTGTTGTGAAAAAAATGGAATTAATTTTTTTTCCTAAGTGATTGACGACCTCTTACAGGAAAATTAGTCTCATCCACTCTTGAGGCAAACTTTTATCACGAATATTGCTTTGGGGTCTACACGTAGTTTATATAAGCACTTCTGCAAGTAAGCTGCCATTCAAGTAGCAATGTGTGCAAGTGTAATACCAAACATAAATATTCTTTATTAGCCTCATTCACATTTATTTATGGATGCATACGAAATATATGCTATAATAAATAATTGCAAATAAATACCGAATATTTTATTATATGAAAAAATTACCATACTACACACACGCAAATATGCCAGTACATAAATATGCGTAATTAATATATATATATACGAGTATATGTAAATACAGATATTTTTGATATTTTGGCAAGCCAAAAGCACTCAAATTTCCACATAAACTTAAGGAATTTAAATGACTTTTTGAGTACATTTTAGAGTCAATTTTTGACGAAAAATCAACTCAATTATTTATATATGCATGCGTATGTATGTATGTATGTATGTATCACCTGCACACACACACACCGTGGTATGTACACAAATGGTTGTGCCTGTATATTTTGCCACTGGTCATTCAGCTACACAACCAATATATTCACAAACATACATACTTACTCGTACATACTACATAGACAAAGAAACGTTATTTTTAGCAACGAAAAATTTGGACTTTTTCATAATCATTTTCCACACAATTCACCTGAGTACGAAGAAAAATGTATTTTGCTTTGGCACAAAGTTATAAGCATATAATGAGTGTATACATACTCGTATATATGTATGTTCATATGTATGTATATTTCGGTGGATAGATACAATCTTGCAAGTTATATATCTACTAAGTGGCGTGAATATTCCGCTGGCGACGTTGTGCTGCTCGTAAACATTAAAATATATATTTTTGAAAAATTAAATTTTTTTTATTTAATTTTTTTTTTGTCAGCTCTTCTTAGTCGCTTACTCATGAAATTGACGAAAGTTTTAGTC